TTGGAGAGTTTTTTCTGTGAAATGCCTTGTGAATGGTCCGCTGCTCCATTCACCGGGTATAAATCCTCTAATGTATATAGACTCTAGATTAATAACCTCCCCAGATGAAGAGGATTTCCAATTCAATTGATGGTGGTTATTAATCAAGAGCCTACATTAGTTTTGTTGCATGACCAAGGACACCACTGCCCATGCTGGCAACACCATCTCTGCTGTGAATGCCTTCAGTGTTCCTCAGATGCAGTTAATCCAAGCATGGACAAAGGGCTTGGTTGTAGTAGGTCCATGACGGCATGTGTGCATCTATGTTTATGCTTTGATGGACTAGGCACCAGACTCTCCGTATTTGTGTGCCTCCTCAGTTGGTGTAGCCGATCACGGTGATGTGAGAAGCAAGCAGGCTATTTAGAGGCCGCTGATAGCTTCCACGAATGAAAGTGATGAGGCCGTGTTCAATATTGCCCTCACCTTGCTTGCACAAGCTTACACCGAGCTTGACATCAACTATATGAACGTCACTGGCTCGATCTTGTCCAGCTACAGCTTCTTGGCCCAATGCCAAAAGGGGCACCCCCAAACGAAAAGAAAGAACAAGGCAACCACACGAGTCCACAAGAACTACAGGGATTCCTCCATCAAGCTATCAAGCGGCCAGTTTTTCAATCGGCCAGGATGGTTTTTTTTGGCGCCGAGTTGGGATGGAAGAAAGAGACCAAACACAGACAAAAGCACCTTCAGGTCAAGCCGGCCTGGTCCTGGGTGTTGTAATGACCTTTGCCTTTGCTGCGAACACCATGATCAGCTGCCTGCAGACAGCGCAAGCCTTTGCAAAGTACGTGGCGCAATACGAGATTGGGAAGATTGCACAGCTGCCGTTCCCACAGCGGCGCAGCCGGATATTTTTGTGTGTTCTTTTGTGTTTTGGTGAGGTGATTCCAGAAGACGTCCAGATATGGCTGGTGTCGTAGGTGACCATTGAGGATCACAGGCTTTGGCCACACCTTTTGGTCCCCAGGTCGCATGTGAGACCTTTGAAGAAGCTGGCATCCTTTGGTACGATCACATCGATGCGCATGACGATCTCACCCATCATCAACTCCTTAGCCTGTCCCATGATCGGTGGCTTCTTCCTCGGCGTGAAAGGCGTGTTATTTGGTGTGGGAGAAGCGCGTGTAAACGCAAGTCAAGTGCTGTTGCTTTTCAGTCCAGTTCTGCATTGAACACTTGGCACCCGCAGGTCTTCTTTTCATGATCTCGGGTTCCAATGTGCTAGTACTCTGCCTCAGCATTTTCCTCATCAACTCTGGGCAATCATGGGTGGCGGCAAGGACAGGCTGGACAGGTTGGGACGTCGGGCGGCTCCACTTGTCAAGTGGCAGGAAATTTGTCCTCTTCGGCCTTCTCCGAGACAAAGACGGCAACGTCATAGGCAAGGCGACGCAGATGTGTCTCAACGCTTGCCATCATTGCAGTTATATATACATATATGATATATATATAACCAACAGATTCGCTTGTTGCACAATTTGCACAATTCATTTAGCTGGGCACGTGGTGTTGGGAATCAGCCCCACACTCGTGCGGGTCGACCCTCCCCAGACCGACACCAGACCGAGACCGGGGACCCTAGACCGACCCGACCCTCCCGAGGTCCGGACTCGCCGCACTATGCGAACCTGGGCATCGGCGAGACGATCGGGGGGGCCTTTTGAGGACACCACCGGGCCGGCGGGGGAAGCCCGGCCGTGCGGTCCGAGGATCAGAACGTGCGGCGGTCAGAGTTGGGAGGGGAACCTGAAATCGGACACGTCCTGTTGGATGGCCAAAACAGGTCCCAAATGGTCCAAAAGGTATGTCTTGGGACTTCTGGTGGAGGCGTTCTCCATGGACCCTCTTCTTGGATTCTTGGCGATGTTTTTGGGTGTATCGAAATAGGTGGACCATGATAGCTTCAATACTTTCTTGTTCCTTTTGCTGTTCTGCCATGCACTTCGAAGTCTTCACCTTGAAGTCTTCAGTCCCTTCAGTCCCAATCGTAGACAACTCCATCGCTTTGATTCACTTTGTTTGGTTTTAATTTACCCCGCTTTTTTGGATTTGTGGTCACTCACAAATGAGCTAGTTGACTAGACTGTTCCTAGTTCACTACTTTCCCTTGATGGCTTTGTCGAGCTACTTCATCCGCCCCATGCGGATGTGGAACTCATCGGTTGCAAGCCGAAGCCGTTGATCTCTTTCGGTCCCACAGAGCGACTCGAGGCGTTAGGCCGTTAGGCGCGACGTCACCGTTTGAGGTCCCCGAATCAAGCAAAGCTGTCAACTTACTAGTAGTAACAAGAAGCTATTAGAAACAAGTGCATCTCAACAATACAAGGAAGATAGACATGATTCAATGGATGTTTTTTGTGATGGAATCATGTTCTTCACTTCTAGTCACTTTGTTGGGCCACCTTCGTTCCGTTTGGGTGGTTCACTCCTCAACATTTGGCGTGCCTTACAGGAATGCTTGTGGCAGTGGTTGATGTCGGTAGCCTTACCTTGATTTAGGCCATGAACAACTTCATCAAGTTTGTGGCCGTCTTCGCCTTCGCCACTTGCCTCTCTGACTTGCGTTGTCCTTGCGGTCAGATGCTGTCATCATTTTGCCAGAAAGAATCGAGAAGATGTGAGATGTGGATCTTCCAGTAAGATGTGGATCTTTCAAAACTCAAGAAGGGATGGGTTGCCCACATCTTTCTGGCAATCCCATTTGAAGAAACCCTCGACTGTAGACGTTGTGCGTGTGCGTGTGCGTGTCCCTGTCCGTGTGCATGTGCGTGTGCGTGTGTGTTCGCTGTCTTGTCTCACAATGTAACAGGCATTCGCCTTCAACTTAGGTGACTGGCGGGCCCGGCAGGCTGTATGTCGGCACCTTAGACATGCATGGAAGGTGGGACCCAGGAGAGGATGAAGAGGAAAGGAGAAAAGTGAAAAAGGAAAGCTCCATACAGTGGAAAGAACCCTCCAATGTTTTTGGGTCGTGCGGCTCCTACCCACCCACCTACCAGTCATAACAGTCCGGCCGAGGATGAGCTTCCCACCAATACCTGGCCCTTTGGGTTTGCGTCTGTGGTGGGTGGCCGGCCTCAGAGAGGGCAAGGGCAAGGTTGGGCACATGGGAAGTTTCACATGATTTGACGAGTGAGATAGTTTCCACAAACACAATTTGCTAGGGATCCATTCTTTGCACGATGTCCTTCGCCTCCTGTGCAGTTAGGGGGTAGCTGAATGTGACGCTGCTTCTGTCCCAAGTGGTCTGCAATTTTGAAGGTTACAGAGTTATAAGAGCTGCCGGTTGGCCCTGGCTCCCACTCAAAGCAGAGAGCTAAGTCACACACACACACACACGCATATATATATATAAAACTCCTGAAATTTCACTTCTGATTAGGACGGGGCCTGTTCAAGATTCAGTTCAATCCCGGCATCAACACCCTCTTCTGGGAACCGCCTCATTTTGGAACGCGGGATTAGTCGGGATTAGGCTCGTTTTGGAATGTGGGAGGTTAGGATCGTTTTGGAGCAGCGCGTGTAACTAATATATGTTTTTTGTCCCTTTTTCTTGTGATGTGTAGTTTCTATGGTCTTTGTTTCTAGTCTGAGTCTTGGTTGTGTTTTCTTTTTCTTTTCTTCTGATGTGCGGTTTCTATGCTTTTTTTGGTCATTGTTCCAGTTGTCCAACATCATCCTAATCATGTGTTCCAAAATGGTCCTCCTCCCTCTCTAGACTGCAAGAGGAAAGTAGTGCTTCTGTGTCCTTGCGTCTTCCAAAGCCATGGACCTAGATGATTGATAGGGAGAGAATGATAGATATGATAGAATTAGATAGACCTCATGTTTTCACCTTTAGGTGGCATGCGGGGACCTATAGTGAGAAGATAAAGGCATGTGTCCAAATTCGCCATTTGCCAGGCATTGAACTCGTACATTGTCCTACATGTTCTTGTTTTTCACGCACATGTGGGGCCGCTCGCGCATGCCATGTGCAATGTGCACTCTCCTTTAGGGCACTAATGCAGCAACCAGGACAACGGCATGATATTGCACAACCACGCGCACAGATACTGGCTGCTATACCTATAGACCACAAGGCCACATACCATGCCATACAGAATCAGCATCCTCAAACTTCAGGTGGTTGGCAGCCAGAAGCATATACTCAACCAAAATCAAGATATGAGATGATATGAGTTCGTGTGGTCCGCACTCATAGGCTCACTGTCCTTGGTCTTCTTCTCGCGGGCAGCAGCCTCAGACGAAGCAACGAGAAGTACAGCAAAAGAGAAAGTACACCAAGTGGATCTAATACCCTGTAAGCCTGGTTGACGGAAAGCTTGGCGAGATGAACCCATTGTTTTTAACAGGTACATGCGTTTTGCCGCATGTCCCTCCGAAGAGTGTTGCGGCATTGCGTGGTAGTGGTGTTTGCGAGCTGAGTGCAGTATGCGACCAGGTTGGACTAGACCTACTTCTGAAGGGCCTGGGGTCATTCCTACAGCGGCGGAAGAAGATGCAAGCCTACGAGGACGGCGTTTTTTTGCACGAGAACACAGCACCCTCAGAATCACCATGTTGAAGACCTGCTACGCAAGCTTTCATGGGCCCGTGGGCCAATGGCTGATGCATGGTGACTGGCCACAATCTGCAATTTTTGGGCAACAGGAGGGTGAAGAGCCTCCGCCAGAGGAGAAGGATGAATTTGAGGATTTGTAGTGGCCACTGCGCCGAAATGATTCTTCTGGTCGTGTTTCACTCCAGCATGCTGAAATACAGCAGGTTGAGGTAGAAGAGGGTGCAAAAGGTCACCATGCAAAAAGAAGTGCGTGAGGAATTCAAAGTGTTGAAGGTGGACCCTCCGGCAAGTTTCGAACATGCCACTGTGGTAAGACTCTTTGACATCAGGTGACATGTGACGTTCTCTTGAATCTCATTGACGCCAGTGCACTGACGCCTTGAGCAAGGCCAGAGCGTTACAAAGATTTCCAGGATTTTTTGCGAACGCTGGCAACTCAGGTTCCTGCAGTGTGTCAGAGGATGTCATGGTTTGCACTGGTGCTGGTAGGCCACCTGAGTTTGGATCTTTCAAATCCTTAACACTGGCAGGTTCGACTTCAGGGCAGGTTCGACTTCGATGATTGAGGTCTAGGTTAGCCCGCATTCTGTGTATGCCATATTGCAGTTGGTTTATGTTAGTGGCAGGTTGGACCATGGATTGAGAGTGGGAATGAGTCTATGTTAGTATATGGCAAATGGCCCCAGGGCCCGCCAATACCGTTTCTCCAGGAAGTCACCGTTTCAAGCAGTCCATGTTAAATAGCACCTGGATTTGGGTTTTGGTGCATGTGTATTTTTTTTGAACCGGAGTAAATCTACAAATTCACCGAATGCAATTGGCTACCTCTTCATCTCCACAACCCGGACAGAGAGATCAACGACCGTTGGGCACCTCCAGGTCCGGTTTTCGTCGTTGGGGCGGGACTGGATGGGACGGGACGCTCAGGTTGCGCGTGAAGAGGGCGCGGGAGATTGCCAAGCAGAGAGCAGCCGGGCTCACCAGTGAGAGGTTTGCGTGAATCAGCCTCTCAGTCCGGGTTGGACCCTCGAGTAGCTTTGGTTTTGGACATCGATCCCTTGTAGTCCGAAAACCCTTCCCAATCCGAAGATGAACAGAATGGATTGTCCGCCTGGGCGTTTTTGATGACTTTTATGACCAACTCAGGAACTCAAAGAGGCCATAAGCAAGCTGGGAGCCCGGCCCTTGGGCAGTAGCGAGCCTGGAGCTGAAAACGGGGGTTTTCGGCCTCCCTGTAGGTGAACGGTAGTTTCTACATTTGGCTATTCCATTGGATTTGTGTTCTATTTTGTCACTGCTGGTTTGGTCGGTTTGGTTAGTCTGGTTGGTGGTTTGGCACCACCCCGTCCGGCCTCGGGGTTAGAGTGCTGACCAGGTGGCCCACGCCCTTCGCCCTTCCTCCATCTTCCGCCCTTCCCCAAACATAAGCAACTTAGAGAGAGAAGAACTTCCTTCTGCATCACGTGGCTGTGACAAGGGAACGAACTAGGGAACTAGGGGAGTGTACCTCCATCATCCAGGGGCACATCCAAGTCATTGACGGCTCCAGAACGCCATCTGCGGCCCGGGCGCCCGAGTCCGGCGGAAGTCCGGTCGACCCGTCCGCGCGGTCTCCGGCGACCGGCCTCGGTGGCAGGTCACCCCTGAGTTGCTGTCAGAGGTGCGTGGGCCTGAGATTGAATGGAAGGTGGCACCTGCGTCACGCGCCTGAATCCGATTCCACCAACGTGACGCTGATGCAGCCAAAGCCTTGTCAACGGTCTGGCGCGGAGGTTCATTGAGGATGGAACGCTTTGTTGAAGAAAGCCGAGGTTCGATGCCTGCTATGCCCCGACCCAGTCCAAGACTCGGCACGATTTTGTGTTGTGTATGGAGGTGGCCTACACGTGCATGCTGCAAGTCGCAGACCTATTAGCATGGCAGGAGAACATTCTTGGATTTCCTGCCTTGAGGTGTTCGAGCCCCACGACATAGCAACATTAACATACAGCCCATACAGCACCTCTTCCCAGCAACTACTAGTCGCCGTCATCCTCAAGTGCCGGTGCATATTGGCAATTTGTCCATGCTTCAGCACTCCTTCGATTTGGCAGGTTGAAGCATGGCAACTTTGAGAATAGAAAAGGCGATCCCAGATATCCCAGGCAAGAGCCGACTCAGAGAGATGTCTTCGGCAGACTCAGAGAGATGTGTTTCGACTGCCAGGTTCGACCTCACCAGGGACTTCTTCACTCGGCTGGGCTGGAGCCACAGCACTGACCACCTAAACGACTGGAAAACGAGAACAGGAATTCTCTAGTGAGGCGAACGGATTCCTCATCGAATACTGCTGGTTCTCGCCCGTGTGGCACTGAGTCACTGGGGATCTGTGGAAGGAGGCCGGAGGCGGCGCAGGAGGCGCAGGAGGCGCAGGCGGCGTAGTGCAGCCCAGGCCAAGGCGAGCAGATCCTTGGTGGAGGGCCAGGGCCTCAGCCCGCAGAGGGGCGTAGCGGCTTGGCCGCTTGAAGTGCCGTCAAGCACCCCCCAACAAGCACTGATCCTTGGTATGTTGAGCAACCGAAGAATGAAGAAAGGCTGCTCAAAACTGGTCCTTTCGCTTCGCTTGCCGTTGTCCATCCAGGTTGTTCTTCATCAAAGCCGGGCGGATCTATGGCCGGTACTGGGGGTCCGGTCGCCCATGGGACTGGGAGCCTTTGACCACTCCAAAGATGTGTCATTTCAAACCCGAAGAATTGGTGACAGGTGCAGAGAGGAACGGCCCGACCTGCCATTTTTGCACTTCGAGTGCTGCTACTATGCAGTTGGCCACTCAATTCTGATTTGGGTGACGGTTAGCCGTTTAGCCAACAGATGTGACGGAACGTGATTGAACATGAACATGGATGACGACGAGGCCATCGAACACGCCATCCACCACGGCTACGAGTCAGAGCCCTTGGCAAGAAGAGACCTGATCGTTACGACGGCTACGAGTGTCCTGCGAGGCGAATTGAGCCCGGAAATGGCGGAGGCGGCGTCTGCCAGGCCACTCCAAAGGTGGAAGTGGAGCCCCTAACGTTCCAACCATGCGATGGCATCGCTGGAAACCGGAGTGGTCACAGTTTACCACTGACAATGAATCTCCCAGATGTTAGCGAAAGAGAGCATCCAAGAGAACAAATTGACAAGAACCCCCCCATCTTGAGACACACCCACACACTCACTTGGCAATAGAGGACTCATTACTTGTATTATCATTGAATCTTCTCCTATCCAGAGTCATCCCCACCTCATATGGAGGACTCTATGTCCTTGGCAGGTGCAACGGAGGCGAGGCTTCAACCCTGCCTGGCACTCAGCCCACACCCAGTTCTTGGCCCGTTGGTGGCTGCTTTTACAATATCTCAGCAACCTGGGACCGGTACACCCAACTGCTGCAGGATTCTAAATATATTGTACAAGTTAAACATCCCGTCTTGTCAAAAGTGCTGTCACCCCTTCTGTGTGCATGAACTTGACCCACCGCCGGGACGAGGTCCCAACCTCCTCCTATCACTTCATCCCGGATGAAGCGCTGCGGGAAGAGGCTGCTCGTGGTCGTTTCCGCTGTTGGGTGCTGAATGCCGCACGGCACCGTTGGGCCATGTGCAGGTGACCCAGCTTGCCCGGGAGGCGGCCAAGGTCCAACCCTCCTGGACGGTGCCCAGGGACGGTGCGAGGGGTGCGGCTGGATCGTTTGGACCTCTCAGGTACAACGAAATTCTGCTTATGCACCAAAGCCGCGAGAATACCGCCGCTCGGCCTGAAGATGGCTCATCTGCTGGAATGCAACATGTCTACCAGTGAGCCCAATTTTGAGGACTTGTTTTGCCTCCTTGGAGGGGGTTGTGTGAGAGTGTGCAAGCGTAGTGATTCAATGAGATCTGTTCATTGACACGCTTCATGTGCCTTTGGCCGGCCGCAGTGCTTTGCTCAAAAGAGGGTTAGAGCAACCCACTGGCGTGTCCGTCAACACCAGATGTGCGCTAATGGGGTCTGTACTGTCTGGACAGTGCCTCGGCAGCAATGACTTGCTTGCTCTGAGCGTCTCGACAGCTGTCACAGTAAGGACCCCGTTCTCCCATGGATCCTTGGTCGGACTCCTAGTGCAAAGCTTCGGTGGCGGGGCTTTTAATCGTTGTAGTCTATGTCTCCTTTGTTGTGCTCAGATCCTATTGGCGCAGACAGTTTGGAATTCAGGTTGGCATTTTTGAAGGGCAGCTGACGCAGAAGTATGAGATCTTGCGACAGAGACTGTGCTGAAGTTATCTGATGCCTGTGGTGTATTCGCGGACATTCTTAGGGTTGACATAGCTGCCTCAGCATTCAGCTAAGCCTTACAGTAGCTGGTGGCTTTGATCGATTTAGACTGGCTGGCCCGGAACTCTACCTGTATATAAACAAGCTTGGACGCCCCTAGATGCCCAGCTCACCCTCTTTGTGCTCCATGCGAATGCAAGGCTCGGTACTGGCAGGCAAGGAAAGACCTTCCTAGTGAGGCTGGTCTCTGGTACATATGCGTCAAGCACTCCGACAGACACTTTGTCGGACAGGTGTTGTATTACTTATTAAGACACCGGCAGACGCCACATGTCGCGCAGGGGGGAAATCTGAACAGAAAAGCCTTTTCGTGGCCAAGGAGAGTCACGAAAAGCTCCTTGGCATAGGAGGCTGAACGAGGACGTTTGCGAACCGCGTGTGGGCGCGTCGATTGAGTTGATCGGTTCCTTTTCGAGTTTGTTATCTCATGATGTCATGACTCGGCTCAGGGACCCTTATGCCATTGCAGATTTGCGGAAGGAGTTTGACTACCTGAAGCGAATCTTGGAAGCAAGTGCGTGTGTCAAATTCAGGGCCAACTTCTGCTCAGCTTCTTTGGGGTGCTTTTCCTTGCATGCAGGCGGTTCAGATTTTCTGGGTTGGTTCCTCCTTGCCTGATGAGAGAAACAGACAAGCCGATTTCATAAAGCCTGTCACCAGCAGAAGTCCAAAGTAGTCTACAAATAGCTCCAGGAGAGCATGTTCAACATGATTTGTTTGATCGTCCGGTTGTTGGTTAAGATTCTTGGAATAGGTCATGACAGGAATGATGACAGATTTAAGTTCTATGCATCGCAAAGCTACGTGAAACACTCCTTTCTTGCGTTTGTGGCTAGGTTTGCAGCATCCAAATATCTCGAAGGCTGGCTGCTTGAAACAAGGGTTCGTCATTGTTGGATATTGTTGGGAGGTAACGATTTTTTATCCAAGAAGGAATCTGAGGCGGCCAAGGCCTCTGGATTACGGGTCACACAAAACAGGACCAAGGTAACAGGATGTTGAGCTTCTGCTTGCAAACTCGGGCGTTATTTTTGCTTGAGTTATTTGAGCCACCGATTTTTGAATGAGTCTTGCCAGGTCTTGGAACTGGTGCTGGGCAAAGAGTTGGAGGAAGGACAATGGACTGATCGATTGTATGTGATCTCCGAGCTGGCTGCTGGGGCCTGAGAAGGGGTCTTGGCATTGACGAGAAGATTGCTTTCGACCAGTAGCAACACGTGCCCGTGCATCTTTTGTTGGCCACTTGGCAGTTGGAACACCTTTGAGGGCTTAGCGGCTTGTTGCTCAGGCTGGAAGCGACTTGCTTCAGTACATGAAGAAAATGCACCTGGGCCGAGAGCTGCTCCTGGCGGGATGTTGTCGGATGTTTCCTGCGATTTTTGTTCAGGATTGAGCATCAGCGTACTCTTCGAGAAGATTGGATGGCGAAAGTCCTTCACCAGATCATGAGTGGTGTAGCCTATTTGCACAGCTCTGAGCTCAGTGGATGGGGATGAATAGGGACGGATGTATGGTTCGGGGATGGGCGGATCCCTGAGCATTGCAGGTGAGCGGGTGGTTCACAACGACCTCAAGCCGGACAATATCCTTTGCATCCAAGAGCGCCCCGGACCAGACTTGTGCCCGAAAATTGTAGCATTCGCACAGAAGCTGTGGGTTGGGTGGGGCCCCTAAAACTGATTAAACATAGGGGGTGGAGGCTTGTGCAGGACGACAAAAACGGCTTGGTCACGAGCAGGTTCCAGCCGGATTCTCCCGACCTGGTGCCTTGGGTCACGCTGACGGACTTTGGATGTGCCAAGGCGCGCCCAGTTCGGTCGCGCCAAGGGCGTGGACACGCGGGAAAGGAGGGAAAGGAGGGAGGATGAGACGAAATGTGAGAAGTTTCAGCCCGACTCAGGCTGATGCTGAATGACACATCCAAATAGAGCATATCAAGATATTGACATTGAGGTTCAAGCCAGAAGTGTGTGGAAGGGAATAGGCCCCGTTTGTGCTTTTGTCCAGATTCTTTTTGGGGTTCTCTCCTTGTCCACTTGTTCTCCAGGTCAGAGATGAAGAGGACTTTGTGTGCGGCGACCCGCGCTACCAGTCTCCTGAGACTCTGAGAGCTCTGGTGGCCCATTTAAAGGGTCAGACAGCAGCTGCTCTTGACCGATCCTTGGAGGGGTGAAGACCGATCCGACGAGGGGAGGGGTGGGGAGGTGACCGCTCGGACCCGCAACCGACCGGTTCGATTCGGCGAACAAAACGGGTCCAAGGCAGAGGCAACGGTTTGTCCCATGACCTGTAACAGGCAAAGCATGATCACTGTTTTGGAGAAAGGCCTTTACTAAGCATCATCCACTGTTACGGGTAATGAGATATGCCATATGCCCATGTATATTGTATATATATATATAAATCCGTCCTTGATGAACCACAGTGCTCCTCGGTAGGTCTGGTCTGGTCGAGGAGTCGATGACCCCGGGGTCTGGCAGAGGGGAGACGAAACGATCATTCGATCAAGTGGACCCAAACGCGAGGTGTGCAGTGGACCCATGTGTGTCTCACCAGCACGAACCTTTCTGATCACTAGTTGCACTACACCACTGGGTATCTGAAACTTTCTGAAGTTTTTTGTGGAGGAACTCATTGGGAACACTGAAAACCAGTGGTTCTAGTACCAGTCGGAACACTTCCTTGGGCTTGAACGAGACCTCAGGACAGATCGGCTACCAAGCCGACATTTGGTCCTTGGGAGTGACGCTCTTTGAGCTGCTCAGTGGAGGTGGACGGAGCGTCCATGATCTAAACTGCTGGTTAGGGTGGAGTCTTTCAATCTGCTAGTCCTACAGTCCTACTGCTGGTTCTGGATCCTACTTCTTTATTACCATGAATCTAGCCAACATGGTCCAAGTCTTGCAGCTGGATCCTACCGTACGTAGGTCTGAGCCAGTCCTGCTGAGCAGAGACGCGAGCTGCATTTTGTGCAGCACGTGCAGGTGTGATGCCATTCATCTATGAAGCCGTCCATCTCAACGATGTCACCCACAATGCCGCACGATGGGAGAAGCTCAAAGTGGAGGTCATGGAGAAGGAGCCCGCAGCCGGTGTGGCTTTGGTAAACCTGGGTCAGGGGAAACCACAAATTTTGCTAAGGAGTGGTGTCCGCTGGTTTGACACGTGCGACCGCTCCAGCATCAATTTCCCCGCCCCCCCTTTTCAGAGGACCCCCGCGAGGGGTGATCCAAGCACCTCAACCGATGCTGACCCAGCTTCGCGGTGGGCCCATCGCAGGGCCCACCGGGTTGACGAAGGAGCAGAACCCTTCGGAACCCTTCGACCAAATTGGGAGGTCAATGAGCCACCTGGGGTCTGGTGAGGTTGAGCGAGAGGTGTTTGTATGATTTTGTATGTTACTGCCGCATCCCCAAGTGCCTCAGGCACCTGACAGAAGTGCAGTGCAGATGCCAGCTTTATTTGGTCACATGTGGTCAGATTGTCAGCATTGCTTGAGAACTGCGTTTGTTGTTGAGGCTGTGCCTGGTGCAAAGAGAGCTTCCATTATCATGATTTTTTTGTTTTTTTTGCAAGTTGTAGCGGCTCAGAAAGGGCGTGTCAGATGTCTGTTTGTATCGTGCGGGACCCCTTTGATGCTGTGTTCTTGCGTCCCCCTGATACGGTATCATCATGATTGAGCCACGAACAAGGCGTTGAACCCCAAACATCATCTCACACCCTGGCGTTGACAGGAACTCGTTCTGGATCCTTACTTGGCAGGCAGGGCAGAGCCGGCAGAGGGCTGCTGTTCCTTCACAAGCCCGCTGCAATGCTGCGCTGGTTGTTGCCCGCTTTCGAGGTGCTACGACCGCTGCAAGGGATTTGGTCTCAAGAATGCTCTCCAAGGAAGGGTCGTGTGAGGGATGGTCAGTGATCACTGTAGTACCTACATGCGCGTTTGGAAATGGATGAGGGAACTCGCACACTCTGCAGACTTACGAATTATACACCGCGGGTCGTGGTTATTTGGCTGGCTGGCTGGGTGGTTGGTTGGCTGGTTGGTTGGTTGGTTGGGTGGGTGGGTTGGTTGGGTGGGTGGGTGGGTTGGTTGGTGAGCTGGGGAATGGGAAACCCTTGCCATCCCTGGCGTTGTTCTTCGGAGAGCCACATGAGCTGAAGCTTATATAAGTTGGTCCTGAATCTAGCTCAGAGCTCAATCAGGGAACAGCAATTGTGACACCAGCGGAACCATGAGACCCAGGGTGTATGTCCCAGCTGGTGCAGACTTGTTTATATATGTCTCACGACTGTTCATATTCCAAATGCCCTTCAACGATGCTCAAGGCAAACTCGAACGTCTTCAAATCCCAAGTGGCTGAGAGTTGACCTTGAGGGTTGCTGGAGTATTCCGACCAGGATTAGCGCCAAAACAACTACCTCGCATTGCTCTG